ATAGGCACCCGCCACGATACTTGGCTTTTTTATGTTTGTTTTTATTGTTGTTATTGCAGTTGTTTAGCTGGCCTGGGCCGGGTTTGAACCTGCCACCCTCAGTGTATGTGGCCGGCACACATTTTAAAAATTTTATTTTTTTAATCATCCAGACTAAAATGTCATATGAAAGTTTAACAATTATATAACTATTTCACCCCCAGTGAAGTATCGTTTCAAATATAATATTTCCTTATGATAATTTCATGTAGAGGAAAAGGAGAAGGGATGAGAAGCAAAGTAGTTTATATCCTAAGAGTTCTAAAGGATAAGGATAAAAATTCTGTAAGGCAAAAAACTCTGGAAAAGATGTGGTTCCACCCTGGAGACTGGAATATTCTTTCAGTGAGTCTGACACAACCACTTCTTCCCCCTCTAGTGTTAGAATGAAGCAAACTTTTTCTGATTGAGCACCAGATGATAGCATACTTGAGTTAAGGCCATCTTATAAGGAACATATGCTATCTTTAAATTCTAAACTCAAAGTAAACTCAGCAAAATGTTTATAATATGATACATGAAAATTAGAACTAAGGATCAACAAATCATCTCTCTTTATAACTTTCATTAATCCAGAATCACCAGGTGGAACGGCAGGGAACCAAACATATGCGCTCCTGTGCAGTCACTCCCTCCCCATCAACCTCTACCCTGTGTTTCCTCACCTATAAAATAATGGCAATAAATCTAATTCAAAGGATGCAGGATTAAATGCAATAACAATACACAAGCCAGATACACAGCAGGTACTAAATAAATGGTAGAATGTAGATGACAAAATTGATGCCGATCTCATTGCTCGACGGTATGCTTCAAGGTGATTATCCTAAATTCTAAATCTTCTCGTGTTGCTCTGAATAAAGCATTCAACGGCTCCTTCAATCTTAATATGAACTCCATCTCAGCGGCCTGGAAGATATGCCACGCCTTCATGACCCAAGTTCTGACTTCCCCAAACTAGACTCGGGTATCACCTTTCCTGGGAAACTCATCTGAATGCACGCTCCCCTCTTCTTGAAGGAGAACCCACCTCCTCTGGGTTCCCAAAGCTCCCTGTGCATTCATCAGTGGGAGTAGTTCTCAGATGGTAATTCCTTATTTATCTCTCTCCTTCGACAAATGATGACCTTTAACACAGGCATAAACTACTTTTCTTCACCTCTGGATTCCAAAGCCTAACGACAGTGTCAGGAATATAACAGACAATTGTAAAGTATACTGAACAAATGCATACCGTTCTTAAAATACCTGGTGAGCTTTGAGGTTCCCATACTCTCAATCCGTAAGTAAAATAATGCAATGCATACGGCTACTTAATTTGCTTCTCCCATTTTTCATTCTAGTCAATGTAAAACACAGAATCTGAAACAACTGGGTACCTTTGTGCAGTGGAAGTATATCGTAGCCAATGAGGTTTATCCGAGGCGCAATTACTGCTAATTGAAACAATTGGGTAGTTTCTGATTCTTATCAATATAACTTACTTTATATAAAGGACTAGAATCAAAATAGTAAAAACTATTAGTATCAAGTGATTATGTTTAAACAAAAATCAGTCTGCTTGAGGAAATGAGGGTAGATTAAATTCTACACTTTAAAACATCAAAGCAATGTTCCAAGTGCCTTGTAAGAAGTTATCTCATTTGGTTATCAACAACCTCAAAAGACAGCCCCACCCTTTACACAGGAGAATAGGAACATACAGAAAAGTAAGTACTTTCCCCAGGGTCATACAGCCAATATAGAGTGAGAGCTGGATTAAAAAATACAAGCCTATTAATAATGCCTGTATTTCCACTATTATTTATAAGGTTTTTAAAAATTGTATTTTTATAGTAATAAAAATTATTGTTATTTAAGGTATTGCTATTTACTGTTTATTATACAAATTCCATGTATATCACTGTTGAAATTGTCCTCACATCAGATGAAGGCATACATACAAGAAACACAAAAGGGAAAAAGCTAATGCACAGGAATATAAGTATATATTCCGATTTTATTACTAAAAAAGAGTAGACCTGGAAGACACAGACTGGGAAGGAGATAAGATCTAATTGATGCAATGCCACCACCACCTCTGTATGTGAAAGGGACTTTACAGTTCTATGAAAGTATGTTCGTATCACTACTCCATTTACT